TTTCAGTGTCTGGGAACTTATTTATCAAGGTTACTCACTCAGTCTCCTGGAGATCTGAGATGAAATATGTTCATGTATGTTATCCTTACCCTGTTTTGTTTAAGTGCATCTGCACTATTCTTTGATGTCTAACATGGATCATATATAGTCTAAGAAAAGATGCATTCCCCAAATCCATTTGCATTTTGTGACTATAGGTCACCAGTTTCTCTTCTGTACCGGCCAGTATCTTTCTCCCACAATGGAGTTCTGTTTGTGCTGAGAACAGTAGATACAGAGTTATTCATAAGTGAGCTCTGTTTCTTCCAAGGTCAAATAAGAAACTGGAATCAGACCAGAATAAGATGGAGCTCTGGCGTTTCTGGAATTCACCTCCCTTTTATCTTGTGCCCAGTGGGCTGTATAAATGTTTAAGAACCCCACCCCCAGGACTACAGTCAGAGATGGATTTTCCAAACGCTTTTAAATGCATTTTAAAGACAACGCTGGATCCTTCTCTGTTTTATTGAGGTGTGTTCTTTTCCTCTTTGAAAAAGTAAAAATCTACAACAAATCCAAATTGCCAATCACAATTCCATACAAAACAACAGACTCCAACAACTGAGAATAAAACATTGATTTACATTTGACTTGGAATGTGCTGAGGAGGATGGGCCACCGGGAGCTTGACAAGAGCAGCCCTCCAACTACAGATTGTTCTAGTCTTTTTCTTTTCTTTATTTGACAAGGTAAACCCCGTTGAGATCTGGGCAGAGATCTGCAATACACTGCAACCTGGTTGCAAAATTAAAGCCAATTAATACATATGCACAAATATAAAACAAAAACAATTTAAAAGCAGTGACACTGTTTCATAGAAGCTTGTCGTCTATCTTTAAGAACCGCTCGAAATAAGTCCAAAGAAATAGTGTCCGACATCTTGAGCTCAGACTGGAGCTGATGCCACGCTGTAGGAGTCAACACGCTGAATGCTTTCTTTCCTTTATCAGTTCGAACACGAGGAACATGTTGAGGAATAAAGACATTTGAGCGTAAAAAATGTGAACTACTAGATCTATGCAAAAGAAAGCTTAAGTATGTTGGTGTTAGTCCAAGGAGTTAGTCTAGAGCGAGGGGACAGAATTGACAAAGATCCCTGGTGTTGAAACATTTTTAGAAAAAATGGGAAAAAAAATCACATTCTCTCCAATTTTTGTTTTGTGGATTAGAAAAACACTCTCAATACCATTTGTTTAGCATACCTGAGATTAAGCTACTTTGCATAGACGAATATGCAAAAATCTGAGTCCACTGATCGGCAACACTGGTGGAGGCATACCTTAAAAGCTAAGGATGGTTCCAGAACCCAGGCGGTCCAGAATACTAAGATATTCTGTACTTTTCAGATTTATATTCGTACCCTTCCTGTTCTACTTTGTGTTGGTCTCTCATAAAAAATTAAATACAAATAAAACTCATAAAATGCATGAAGGTTATATGTTGCATAATGACAGGATGTGAAATGGTTCAACACGTATGAGAAATGCAAGGCAATGCATGAAAGTCATTCACACCTTGTGTCACCAGTGGTTGGACAATATCGACCCAGCACCAGCACTTCATATGGCTTCTTGTGCGGCGAATCAAGAGGAAACACAAACTCCCCTGATGTGGTGACCTGAAAAACAAGAAAGGCAGCAAATGAGGGTCTTAATTCTCTCTTAGGCTTTCCATAAATCAGTCATCTCTAGATGTCCACTACCTTGACCCAGAACCATTCGGCCACAACTTCTACATCCCAGTGTGGATAAAGCTCTTCACGGACAAAACGGAGGTGACTTGGTCTGTTTGTCACCCAGGTGACCACCAAACAACCTGGAGACCCCAGAAGGGGGACGGGAAGGCGTTTCAGCTGGGATGAAGGCAAAGAGCTGTATCTACACGGTGAAAGATAACAGGTCAAACCCGACATGATCAGCATGCAATGATGTACTGTATTCATGTTGACTACAGTCAATACAAACAATTAGATGTACTTTTAAAACTATATGGTCCAAAATATTTGTAGTAAACTTCTAATGAGTGTCTGAACCAGGTTTTGGTTCCCCTACACATGTTTTCATACACTAGTAACTTATTTTCCTAAAGGAAGCTTAATCTTTTAAACAGTTGCAATGTTTTTTATGCATTTTATGTAAATTTGTTATTGTCTATCAGTTTGTAAACAATGCCTTGTTTCTCTTGTAAGAGATTGAAATATACAAGCTTTATATGGCAGAGTAAACAGATAGAGACTTGGAAAAGTAATATATTTAACATTTGTATGTGAAGGCCATATAACCTGCGACTTCTTTTCACAGACTTGTTTTCCCACGGAGGATCAATAACAATGAGGTCAAACCTCCTCCCAGCTGTTTAAAAAAAAAAAAGAAATAATCAAAACAGTTTATGTTCATTGTTAAAAAAATAAACATTACATTGAATTTGATTGTATTTTTATCACTTTCCTAGAGCCATCTGAGTGTTAGACATCTTTTCCAGACATTAGTAGAATTACAAATTGTCTACATTACTATTTTTTGTTATTAAACTCACATTGCAAAAGTGGTTGTATTCT